ACTTATTGTTTTGATATTTTATGCTTGTGCAGATAAAATTAGGGGACCCTATACAAGAAAACAAAGAATAGTACCACACAGCCCTGTTTTTCCTTTTAACTTTCCAATAGTAAGCTCAGTCTGTTGCCATGGAGCTTATAGGAAGCTTTTGTGTACTGTATTGTGCATTGAAGGTCCCTTCAATGTGATCATTATGAAGGCCTCCCTGTGTAGGCCTTATTTAATTTACATGACTTATTCAAAGCAATCTCATTGATCCAGGATCCTGTCTCTTATACACATCTAGATGTGTATAAGAGACAGCTCCATAATTATACTGCTAATCCCATTGTTACTTGTTCATTTCACTTTTATTTACACCATCCCCTCCAGCTAGACAGTGATAATTCTACACACTTTGGTATGATTTAATAGGGGCCTATTAATAATTACTCTTGCATCAATATCATCATACTTAAGTATTAGACCTACTGATTACAGTTATGGTTATGGTTACGATCTCATGATACTTTTACTTATTATTATCTTCTGCTCTACCATAAAAAAATACTAAGGCCCGTGACTGATTTGGTGATGGGGGCCCTTCTTCCACCTCGCTCACACTAAAAGAGGTTCGCCTGAGGCATGCCTGTATGAATGCATGTAGGTACATTTTGAAACGGGTGAATAAATTGTGACAAATGGTTTATTATTATTATTAAATTTATGATGGTTAATGGAGCCGTGATAATTTTGATAATACAGGTCTTCTTCTAATCCCTTCAATTAAAGACCACCTCCAATTAAGGACCACTGTTCCTGTCTCTTATACACATCTAGATGTGTATAAGAGACAGGTATGAAATTATTAAGCCCAAATGTTTCAGAAGTAGTTGAAGGATGGTTCGCCATGAATCAAATTTGTACCATGACAGTGTGCTGGAAGGCAAGTTTAATCTGCTTACTCAAAAAATAAAACACCCAAGTTTATAAAAAATAAAGTTTTTGTTTTAAAATTTATATTCTTAAAGATTTTACTTGAGTAACATAGTCTACCATAAGTTTTTATCATCTTTGTAACTAATAATAATCTTTGTGTTGATAAATTAAAATACTCACCTCTCTCTACTCTACAGTGCAGTGGTATTATTTTGTAGTTTGATCACACCCTGGTGGTGTGTAAGTAAAGTAGGACTTCTCAAACGCGGGGCCAGTGTGGGGATGGTTGGGCGTTCAAGGATGCAGGCAAGAGGCCGTTGTTGGTGACATTGTTAGCTAGCCTACATAACCTAGCCTATTTCATTACATTTTAGTAGTAGACGCCAAGGGCCTAGGCCTAAATACCTGATCATGATGATGATGTCATGGTCTAGGCCCTGCCTATTAGACCTTTTCCTCTCTCTAGCTAGGTAGGTAGGCCTAGGCCTTCCTATGTAGCCCTAGGCCAATGTAATAAGAGCTTGTCAAAGAGTAGGGCTTAGACCACACTGAGTTTACCTACTTTAAACTGGCTGCGTATAAAGCGAAAAACACTGCACGTGCATAAAACATTGTGTTTGTTATGATTTCAAACAAACAGGACCACACCTCCCGTACACAGTGCTGAAGCCTCGTTGATGAGAAAGTTTGTTATTGGACTCTTCCATTCTTATGCAGGGTGGTGATTTGGACTTCTTATCGTACATTTTTATTATAATTACTGTTTTGAAGTGGACGATTAAGCTACACGTAAAAAGGAATAAACACAAGGAATTAACTATTATACCATGGATATTTAAAAATACACCTCCATAATTATACTGCTAATCCCATTGTTACTTGTTCATTTCACTTTTATTTACATCATCCCCTCCAGCTAGACAGTGATAATTCTACACACTTTGGTATGATTTAATAGGGGCCTATTAATAATTACTCTTGCATCAATATCATCATACTTAAGTATTAGACCTACTGATTACAGTTATGGTTATGGTTACGATCTCATGATACTTTTACTTATTATTATCTTCTGCTCTACCATAAAAAAATACTAAGGCCCGTGACTGATTTGGTGATGGGGGCCCTTCTTCCACCTCGCTCACACTAAAAGAGGTTCGCCTGAGGCATGCCTGTATGAATGCATGTAGGTACATTTTGAAACGAGTGAATAAATTGTGACAAATGGTTTATTATTATTATTATTAAATTTATGATGGTTAATAGAGCCGTGATAATTTTGATAATACAGGTCTTCTTCTAATCCCTTCAATTAAAGACCACCTCCAATTAAGGACCACTGTTCCGTGGTGTCCCATATTAACAAATGTCTTATATTTATTATTCTAAGAGACCAAAACTGCTATGGATGGAAACCCTTGTCCCAAAATGGGGATTATGTGGTGGTGGTGGTGGGTTATAAGAGGGTTCGTTCAGGGGGTTCTCCGTCCATCAAGTCGCAAAAACATCTGGCCAGGGATTACACTTCCCAGATGCACCACACGCCCATGCATCGTAGCGTTCGTTACGTCTGGAAATAAAACAGTAATGTATCTTACATATCTATGTGTGTACCTTTTTCATCATGTATGTTTCATTTTAATCACTAGTGCTAAACAATGTTTAATGAAACCAATCAAGGTTAGGGTAAGCCTATATTGTTAAAACGAAACCTACTGTTTACATGAGATTTAAACTGAGCAAAGGAAAACAATATGAGGCAATGATTTCGTGAGAACGGAGGGGAAGGTGAAAGCATGGGAAAAGGCAAGCAGCCTAACTTTTGAGAGGAGGCCTACCCGTGGGAAATTGAAGCAAGACGAGTAGGTTTTACATGCGGAAATGAAGAAAGAAAAAAATGGCTTGCCACAATCCAGACCATATCATCCATCATTTTCAACGTTTTGACTGTGGTGGTGTAAACATCAAATTATGATTTATGTCATTTTGACGTCATCATTCTATACTAATAACTATCTTTATTGAATATAAACTTTTGTATCAATGGCACCTGTGGGTATTGCGGGGCATTCAAAAGAGAAGTTACCGAGACTAAAATTGTAAACATTAAAATAGGCCTACAGTAAAATACCAAAATTACGTTAAACACCAACTAAAATACATTAAATAGTAGGCTAAATCCCTAAAAAAACAAAAAAAACCCTTAGTAGTTGGGTCGTAAATAATCAAAGAAATTACATTATAAATACTTGTTTCCCCCGTCAGACAGGCCTAGATCCCTTAGGGCCTATATTCTTTAAAATATATTTAAAACATTGAGAGTTTTTCTTATAAAAGAGTACAAATGCCAACACTGACAAATAAGATTCATTAAAAAAATTGTTTCAATCTATCCACAAATCATTTGCTAAATACATTTACTTTTATTGCGATAAACTAATACGTTGATAAATAGCCTATTTGGTGTGGAGACTTTGAAGTCTGAACAATAATAATAATTTAATATTATTCTATTAATCTATCGATCAATATGTTTATGATAATGTTTCAGTTATGTTGTGCGTGGTGAAAATATGTCATGTGGCGAATTTTTGCGTCATACGCCTTAAAATAGTGGAGCCAAATTAAATCTATTAACCAACATACCATGCCATATTGCGTCATTTTTCCGACTACTCCGTAGTATTTTTAGTCTTCGATTCATGAGTGATCAACCAATCAGAGCATAAACAGCAACCATTCTGGTAGCTTATTGGCTACATTACTGACGTCATAGCGACACGTGATGCCATGATGCAATGTAAACAAACACTTCGACTACGATCTCTATGAAGTAGTCGATGTTTATTTGTTAGTAAACCTAAATACAGGACCGTATTGGATAAATCTAGTGAAATGGCACCTCAGAATCATGTTGAAAACCCTGATATTCTCCTTGAAGAAGACTGTATATGGGTGTTTGGCTACGGATCATTGGTATGGAAACCAGACTTCAAATACACAATGAAGCAGATAGGTTGCTTGAAAGGTTTCGTCCGAAGATTTTGGCAAGGGAGTGTCACACACAGAGGATATCCTGGTGCAGTGAGTACTCATTTTATCATCATTATAGGCCTAGGCCAAGATATGAATACCTATTTTTTTGAAATTTATAGTTTTACTGGCTAACTCAGTGGTGCAACCCAGTCAATACATTATTTCTACGCCTAGGGCCAGGCGTAGGTGGCGTAGGCTTGGCACAGGCGTGTAGCCTAACAATATACTAGGCCTACTGAGTAAGCCTAGTACTACTACTAGCCTAGTAGGGAATTGTTTCATTTCATGTACAATATGTAGAATTTTGGTATAACATTTGCATATATCACCTCAGTCTGCATAATGATTTCTCATATTTCTTATTAATAATTATATAAATAACCTTATTTTTACAGCCAGGAAGAGTAGCAACACTCATAGAAAAGGAAAAGGTGAGTTTAAACATACTTGACCTTAATTAAAATAATTAAAATATTTATAATATTACTATTTTAATCTTTTCCAAAGTGAGTCATACCTAGATTATTTGAGAAAGGAAAAGGATAAATAATTTTAATCTGTCGACATGACATAGCAGAAGAATTTTTGTACAGTAAAAATGACTTAATATAGATGTTCTTTCTAGAGTATTGAATATATTAATATTTTGTACAGAAAATTGTGTTTATTAGTAAGCCTTTGCTAATCATGACGGTATGTGCAGTTATTATTGTAAACTATGGTAATTCTAAATTGTACACAAACAACACACTGTGTTATTGAATCTTGTAGTGATAGGTATTAAAGGATGACTCATAATTTTGGCATTTTATCAGTTCACGGAAGTCATCTATTTATGTTCAACTCAGTTAAATCAACTCAGTTTCCATCTTTCCAATATTGGTTCCATACTATTTTTCCTTCTTAAATACTGATTTTTATCTGACATGCAACCTAATAATCCATGGTTACAAAGTGAAATGAAACCTGAGACAAAAGTTGTCTCAGTTTTATAATACTACCTAAATCATATTGAAAGATTTTGTTAGTAATTTTAATTATAGTTTTGATATTTTATGCTTGTGCAGATAAAATTAGGGGACCCTATACAAGAAAACAAAGAATAGTACCACACAGCCCTGTTTTTCCTTTTAACTTTCCAATAGTAAGCTCAGTCTGTTGCCATGGAGCTTATAGGAAGCTTTTGTGTACTGTATTGTGCATTGAAGGTCCCTTCAATGTGATCATTATGAAGGCCTCCCTGTGTAGGCCTTATTTAATTTACATGACTTATTCAAAGCAATCTCATTGATCCAGGATCCATGGGATTATGAAGAAGTGAAGTTATGAATAATAATAGACTATTGATTTCCATTATCCTCAATTATTCATATTGTTACTTCCACAAGTTTTCAGGTCATTTGAAATACTATATATTCAAAACACTTAACAGTATTCCCAAATTAATGTCTACAACAGGGTAATAAAAGTATTCATATTCAATTTTAGAAAGGGTGATAAATACTATTATAATGTCAGTTAGCAAGTCCAGTGTTAGTAGACCTTATGTTTATATTCCTGTAATTGCACTTACTAGGGGGTAAGTTTCTCACCAAAACTAGACGTTGGTGAAGCCCTCCTATCATGTAATGTGGTTGTATTAAGATTGAGTAGCTTACATCATTATTGTATCCTAATGTTATTCAGATTATTACAAGTATACATATTCTCGCTGCATGATGGCGAAATACATTTCATTTTTTTTTTGTTTACTTTCTAAATGTATCAAAAAGTAAAAAAAAAAAAGGAACATCCATTTTTTAATCTCAATATCTTTTTTTTGTTTTCAGGGATTGACATGGGGTGTGGCATTTAAAATTGAAGGCGAAAAGCAAATACAAGAAGCCCTTGAAAAGTTAAACTGCAGAGAGTGCGTTCTTGGGGGCTATATTGTTCAAATGATAGACTTTTTCCCAAACGACGGGACAGCACCCTTCAAGTCTCTCGTATTCAGAGCGACACCCAACAATGACCTTTACCTGGGTGAGGCTACTGAGGCGGAAATTGCTCAACAGGTCGTCACTTCTCATGGATTCAGCGGCCCAAATTCAGAGTATGTGACTCGTTTGGCCGAGTTTATGGAAACAGAGCTCCCAGAAGTAGAGGACTGTCACCTGTACCAGATCACTGCACATGTGCGGATGGGCATTAAGAAAAACAATCTCGTATCAAGCATGAATATAGACTGCCAGTGTTCTCCAATAAGTACAGTATTAACACCAGTAATTAGCAAGTGGATGATAACTAAAGAGTATGGAAATGTGAGCACTGAGGGAAGTGCTGCTAAGGCTAGTTAATGTGCATGCTACCAAAGTGAACTATATTTTTTTTTGGTTGCAAAGTTTGTGGATTTTTATTTAATAAAGCATCCGTTTAAGGATGGACAAATTTGAGTAAGAAGCGCACTCGCTTCATTGAGTGTAGAGTCTGAAATGAGCATTACACTATTCCTGCCTCCAAAACAACCCAACATATTGGGCAGAATTTTAAGTGACACTGACATTTGTTTCCTATAGTTATGGACTAAATCAGTGCAATAAAGCTAACATAACCTATAAAGGCAACTTTCCGTTGCCATAGCAGTTATACTCATTGTTAGACTGAAGCCTAAAGTTACCATTGAATCTCTATCTGTATATCTTGGTGCTTGAAGAATTATATTTTATTAATAACCGTGATAATCTGCACATATGCAGAAATGTTGAAGTGCTACCTCATAATTAAGTTCTTCTACTTTTACAAAATATTCGGAATGATATCATATAGCATGTACAAAATATTCGGTAATACCAAGTTGGTACTCGTACAGTAATAATCTGTATTTATATAAAAATGAACAGTAAATATATGGATTTAAATATTATGATTATATATAATACATGGAATTATTTTAACCTCTAAGGTGCTACCGAAATCTATCACTTGCCAGTAAAAGTGGCCAGTAAAAGTGAACATATCCTCCAGCATTATAATTGTGAAAATAAGATTGTATGCATTTTTTAGTATTATTACATTAATCGATTTATGCTGATGTACTATATAAACTACTAGACAATGCAATAAAAGTCTTAATTTTATTTATCAATTTTCTTATCTCATAATTTAATGTACAGTCCTTGATTCATCCTAGAAACAATGGCAGATCCAGAATTTTTCAAACGGGGGACACAACATTTTCTGAATAGAAAAGTGAGTAGCGCTATTTTCAATACATAACATTGATATGTATTGAAATATTAAAATTTAGAGGCAAAACGGAGGGGGGGGGGGCCCACGCCTGTCCAAACTATCAAATTTTATTTTACAAAAACATGTACCGTAACATGCCTAAATGATGTCATGGTGACATCACATTATGACTATATAAGCACATTGTGACTACATATAGGCAAACAACAGTTTTTTGTCAAATAAAATTTGGTGGTCTGGAACGGGGTTTGAGAAAGGTATTTAGCGCTACAACGATTAACCGTTATGTTGATCGGTAAACAATTAGTACGATTCATGTACAATACTGTGCATTGAATCGAACATCTATTTATGTCTATGCATTCTATAATTTGTCAAGAATTATGACAGTTCCCGGATCTCGGAGCAGAACCTTCATGGACCCACAGAGGGGTCGAAACAAAGAACAAGTACCGATAATGATACTGGTTTGGCCGGATGAGAGTTCACATCACTGGGAATACATTCTCTTCTCACCATGGCATCGTCACTACATTACCAGTTGCCATGACGATATGATGACGTACCGAATGCAATGATGACGTGTGTACATGTTTTAAAAAATCAATTAGGCCTAATATTGATTGAGGTACATGGCTATGCTATCTTATGTCAATGACCTCCAGAATGATAACGTATTATCATCATCCATAGGCCTAATAATCATTCTCATTATCATCATCTTCATAATCACAACCACCAACACCATCATCATCATCATCGTAATAATCATCATCCATCGCCATTATTATTAGCCTACTATTAGGTCCAATAATTTTCTTTAATGGCCCACTTCCTATAAGACATATCAGACCACTTTTCTTTCATTCTTTATTCGCAAAATTGGAACAATAGAATGTAGATATTCAACCCAGGACACGTCTTGAATGAAAACACACCAAGAACATGCAGGGAAAACAGTAATTTTACAAACGAACAATTACAATATTTATGTGTTTTTTCTTTATGAATAATTA